AGTCAGCATATGTCGAACGGACTTGGCTTCTTCTTTTAACTCTTTTTCCCCTAGTGACCTTTTGTGAGCACTATCATCATGGACATTACTACTGCTACCCTTAGACCCTTCCAAAGGCGGCTCAACCTCCCGGTCGGCATCAGGGACATCAACCTCCTCAGCCCCCAATTGCTGGGGCTCCGGTGAATCAACATTGATACCCATGGGGTCATCACCAATGATTTCAATGTCCCCATCGGGCTCCGGAGATTGTTGAGCTTCATCTGATGCCGGGGTGGCAACGCTTGGTCTAGGCTGAGTCGATGGAGTGGAAATCGTCTTTGAATTATTTGCAAAGTAGGGTACATAATCTCTGACAACTAACTCAATGCGATCCCCATTTGGTTTGACCATGTACGGAGGTTCACCTTTGGAGCCTCTCCATATGAAGTCGTAGCCATCATCAATGCATCTCATCCCGACTGAGATAACAGGAGGTGAGCTTCGAACAAGATAGGGGTCAATGGTCTTGCCTAACTTCGGAACAAATACTTTTCCTTGTTTCGATGACGAACTTTCTCCATTGGCAGTGATCATGCGAATGGGGTTGTTGGAGTAGTATCCATAGTCGTCCGGCAATTCACTATCATTGACAAGATCTTGAGCACTCCCCGTATCCGCAATCCAGTCAAGTTCGAGGTTGATCGCTCCCTTCACATCTTCTCTACATTCCGCAGGGGTGGCTTTGAGTCCCTTCGGGATACATTCATTGCAACCAAAATCTGTGTCACATAAATAGGCACATTTGCATTCTATTCCCCGAAGACAATTGGAAACAGATCCTGCCAACATGGTACCGGTCAAAGCGGCATCATTCACAGCAAGTTGATCAACTTCAAATTGATGTCCCCATGGAAAGGTAACCTTATCGTTGGTGACTGCGTTTCCAATTGGCCTCAAGTTCCCTCGGACTTTAACATGAGATACGTCCGGTGAATCATCAAAACGAATCGATGGACAAAATACTCTTGGTTGAGGGATACAAAATGCCTGAGACACGGGTGCAAGCATGGATGCAACAAGACAAACTGCGGCAGGAGACGGCTTAGATGAACTGGCCCCGGTTCCTTTAGACTTCGGGGACTTCGGGCTCTTGGGGCTCTTAGAGCGGCTAGAGCTTCGGGATCCCTTCCTTTTCGGGTTCTTGGGATTTCTCTTTTTATTTTTGTTTTCACTACTGGCCGAACGGGCAGGAGTAGCTTGTCTTGGCTTTCCCACTGAACCCTCATGAAGGAATTTGCAATCAGCCCCTCTATCGCAACGTCCCTGTTTCCAAAACTTGCAAATCTTCTTACCTTTCCCCTTTGGTTTGGGAGAACCAGAACGTTCACTTGAGCGACCTCTGGTTTTGCTAGGCTTGCGACTTCTGTCACGTGGCTTGGGGACTTCATGCTTATAAGTACAGTTGTCCTTACTACAGCCTCTCTTGTTCCATGCCACACAATACCCCTTGGGAATGAAACCTGTCTTACCCTCGACTGCAGGAGCGGAGGGACGACCGGCACCCGAAAGACCTTTGGCAACTCGATCACGATTTGCCTCCAACCTCTCACGGTCAAGGTGGCGTCGCACGGCAGAAACAAGAAAACTGTAGTTCCGTTTTTCGGTTCCTTCATCAGCTCTATGATACTCATTCATGTCATGTTGGATGGCCTTACAATTCTTCACTTGTTTGTAGAAGAGTGTTTCCAATACACTTTCGTCAGGAGCCTGGACAATACCAGCCAACACTGGATCCCAGTTTGAAATGAAAGACTTCAAATTCTCCCCACGCAATTGGACACTGAACAAATCTTGAAGGGCATAGGTTGCTCCGTGCTTGATGTTTGTACTGAAGTGGTCATGCAACATGAACAACACTTGTCTCCCTCTTACAATTCGTCCAGCGGTGGCTTCAGTCTCTTTGAAGGTATCAACCTTGCGGGCGAAGTCACCAGTGATAATATTGGTGAGTGCAGAAAGTAACTTTGCATCAAGTGTCGCAAACGGCGCAACCTTCCGGAGCGCTTCAAGGGTCTGTTCTTCTTTCCAAGAATCACTAATCCACTTGAAAGCACTATCGGGATCGGTTGATGCTGCTACAACTGCTTCTCTGGTCTTAATTCTCCAATTGCGATAGGTTTCTGCCAATGGGAATGCTGGAATCTTGATGGTGTCAGCTTCCTTGACTTTGGGTTTATCGTCATGCCTTTGGTCAACGTAACCACCAAGAAATTTGATCATTCTTCGCCTGAACTTTTCATCATCATCATCATCGGGATCATCATAGCCGTCATCACCACCGTCGGGGGGGTTTGGATCATTTCCCTTCTTTTTGGGAATCTTACGACCCTTATTTCCCTCCGGCTTGTCATCAGGTGGTGAGGGTGGTCCACCTCCCCCGTTCCCTCCGTTGCCATCTCCTCCATCCCCAGGATCGTCACCATCTGGCAGATCGTCTTCCCCCGGCTCGAAGTAGTCCACTTCATCTGGGCCTAGCTCGGTCGGGGCATATTGATTTGTCGGCGCAGGGGAATTGACGTTATCCATGGGATGGTTATCTCGGCGTCGATTATTGGCCTCTCCTCCCGAAGGGCGTTCCTCAGCGGAAGACCTTGCAACATCCGACTCCTTCTTCACTTGAACTGGGACTCGATATGATGGATCATGATAAATAATCTCAATACCATCCTTTTCATAAGTTTCAGTACCAAGTGAAGTAAAGCTAATCGGTGCTCTTGGAATAGGAGGTCGGGCAACACTCGTCGGAGGCGCTGTAGGTGCAGCTTTGCGGGTTGGTGGAACAAACTCAAAATTTGGGATCTCCGTTGGTGCATGAGTTCCGGCTGTGATGGTCATGGCGGCAGTTTCAACAATCGGACTTGGACGGACCTGAGCAAATTGGGAATCGAGCATACTTTGCAGTTTCAGATTGTGTTGCATCTGGGCTTGTACCATGTGTTCAAGCTGGGTAATGCGCTCATTCTGAACCCTTCTCTCTTCCTCAGCTGCTCTTCTCAACTCAAGGATCTCTTGCTCCTTACTTGATAGTGATTGTCGATGGTTAGCATCAATGACACGTTGATATGCCTGAATTTTCTCATTCATCTGAGCCTCACGGAACCTTACATGTTCATGCGCCTCATGCTGTAAGTTCTCTTTATATTGAGCACCCGCATTTAAAAGTTCTTGTTCTTTGATTCTGATAGCATCAAGGGCCCTCTGACTTTCAATGCCCTCGCGGACTCGCAGAGCTTCCTTCAACTCCTCAGTCTTGGCTGTGTGGACGGCTTCGGCCTGAGCTTCGGTGTGAGCCAACACCTCACGATGACGGAGCTCGGCCGCTGTTTCCACAAGGCTTGTCATTGCAGGATCATGTGAATGTACATGCAAGTTCTGCTCGACGAAATTGACTTGAGGATTATCCATCTGCACATTGTGATGGAATGTATTGTGAACATTCATTTGGTTCAACTGGCGAGTCGGCGGCCCACCCTCCCGAGCGGCTTGGGGAACACAACCACGGTGGTTGAAACCCACATGGGAAGGCACAATTGCGTTACCCATGGGTGGGAAGTGGCGGCGTTCCCTTAGGCTTCGTGACTTATCGGAAGATGGTGGGGTGCTTATATCAAAATTAAATGGGGTGTTACTTATAGGCAAGTTACCGGGGTTGGCCATGGCGGCGTCAGAGGACATGCGCCCGGTGCCCTCGGTGGAAGAACCCGAGGGGGCAGACATTGCCTACAAAAGAGAAGTTAGCTTACGGCTGATAACCTGTTTTACAGGTGAATCAACCTGAAAGCACCAGCTAGCGCAATTGTTTTCTTGAGCCATTGCATCACGGTATGTAACACATTACACTATGTACAGTTAGTAATACAATCTACAAACAATAACGCAATTAAAATATTGCCAAAAATTGGATTTCGAAGCGGACCCTAAAAATAAGTTTAAACCCTTAATAAAAATTTTAAAAACTACTTTTTCGATTTCAAAATCAATTCAGTTTCCTTTTATAACGCAATTAAAATATTGCCAAAAATTGGAATTCGAAGCGGGCCCTAATAATAAATTTAAACCCTTAATAAAAACAAGTATTTTTTTCGAAATCAAAATCAATTTCCTTTTATAACCCAATTAAAATATTGCCAAAAATTGGATTTCGAAGCTTCCCTCTAATATCAAATTAAAAACCTTATTATAAAAAAATAAAATTTTCGGACGGACCCTAATAAAAAAACACCCCGGGGTTTGAGTAGTTTTTATTATTAGGGGATGAAACCCACAAATAGCAACTTTTTTTTCATTGTAGTCTAAAGGGGATCAACTAAAAGTCAAATTGGCCAACCTGAAATTTTCCAAAATTGGAGATGGACCCTAGTTTTTGTTATTCGGGGGGGTTATATAGTAATAGGGGGAAGGGATTATGCTATCTTAAACTATTGTAGGATGTTGCAAAGAATTTCAAAAACATTCGTTCCAACATCCATATTTCAATATCACACTCTATTTCGAAACATGTGTAAATTGGGGCCCTCACAGCCTCCCTTTCTGTTGATTTTTTGAGTTGCGGATTTCTTGTGTGGACTCGATTTCCGCGACTCTTGCAACAAGACTCACCTTGCCTCCAAAGGAATATCTGGTACGGCGTCAAAGTAACCTGTTGCAATGTTCAAACCGGTACAAGGGTTTCGACTTGAACCTCAAGGACCTTCAAAACTCTGCCTTATTTGCCTGAACTTCTGTATATCATGTATATCATCTATATTTGAATTCCCGGGATCACCAAAGTCTTCCTTGTGGACGTTTGAGGTACAACATAGTACAATCAAAAAGGAGTTCCACCACCACAAGCTGCAAGGATTGCAAGCTGAAGGAAACTCTTGGATTTTGAAACCAGTTCTTCAAACAGGGAAGAGTCACCAATCAGTCACTAGAGTCATTTGATATTTCTTTGGTCATCTTTGGTCCTTGAAAACCTAAATTAGCTTCGAAACATTGACCCACAAGGCCGGGTAGCTCTTCGGCTGTCCCGTCGTGCTATTGTAGCTCTTGTAGAAGTCCAGCACCAAACCAGAACTTGCGAAAGCTTCGTGAATCACGTTGTTGGACACATACATGGACTCTTCACCTGCGATGGTTGCAGCATGTTGCAGCTGAACACATCAACAGATTCAACAGATCAGAAAATATCAGAATGCACCATCTTTCCCCCAGTTCTCTGACTGCCGTGCATTCGTGTGTGTGTGTGCTGTGTTTTAAACAGTTCCTGCAGAGATTGACCTGCCATGAGCATCCCTGCCTTCACAGCCTTGAGATCCTAAATCAATAGGAGCAATCAGAGGGTATTCGGTCTGAAATTGGGTGTAGGTGTTCGTGTAGGAACCAATCCATGCGTCCATTGCCACGTGGATGACAGTTTCCTGATGCGAGCAAAGCTGGAGTTCAAACATGAGTCAGTTTTCCTTTGACTTGAGAAGCCCGGAGAACTTGTCAAAATCACCATGATCTCTGCAAACTTAAAAGGTGCCCAGCTCCCTAGTCAATCATCTGGTTGGTGGTGTTTTCTACCCCCAGAAAATACGTGAACATGCATATATTCTTGAGGATCACAACCCCAAGCAGGACAGACAATGCAACAGTTACACCACCAACCAGTCATATTTTACCCCGTTTGTGGAGTCTGGCCAAAGTTTCCTTATCTCCGCATTTCCTCTTGAACGGATCATCAAAATCATCACAGCCCGCCAAAGCGTAGAATGGCGATGCCCCAAACTGGCCCTCGATTGGATGAATTGAAGCGTGCAATCCTAAAGCTTCCTGAATCAGAAGTTGGGCAATCTGCGTGGTGAGCCGAGAAGAGGCCCAGGCGCACATCAAAAGGCCCACTGGAATGTTCTCACCTTGGCGAACAAGAATGACATCATGGGGACATATGGTGACATTCAAACTCCGAAGTTTGGGACAGTAAACTGAACCCCGGGCATCAAGGATCAAATGTCACAAAGACACGACACCCAACGAGTTTGATGCAAATCCCCAGCGGCCCCATTTGTGGCTGAAACAAATGATGAATTTGTGATTGGCGCTGAAAGGGGATGAACTCAAACCATGTCAAGCACATTCAAGCACTATCGCATGTAATCCCCAAAGTAAGATTACACCGGCCAGAGACCCCAAACATCCCCAAACAGCGGGTGGTAGGAAGTCAATGTACCAGATACAAGCAAAAAAGGTTTTGCAGCTGATAGGGGGTCTTTGGAAATGGATTCTAGGGTCCTTGGTGATTTAGTTCTACCTCTGATTGTGTGATATATGTTTTCCATTATTTATTTCTTTATCTATCTTATCTATCAAGGTAGGTGGCCTTGGTATATACTAGTGAAAATGATCCCAAAGGAAAGATCGTCTTGGGCTAGTGTCCCTTGGATGTTTCAATATATTGTTAATTCTTATCCGCCATTCGGTAATCATGCCAAGATGGGGATTGATAATTAGTGTCTCCATCCATTTACCCTTCTATTCGTGGAAGTGCCAGTCAGAACAAACGATCACCATTCGATCGTAGTTCAAATAGGTTTTTTTTGGGGTTGGGTACTTTGATAAAATATTAAATATTATATATATATATATATCAATATATGCAGCCGATAGGGGGTCTTTGGAATTTGATTCTAGGGTCCTTGGTGCTTTAGTTCTACCTCTGATTGTGTGATATATGTTTTCCATTATTTATTTCTTTATCTATCTTATCTATCAAGGTAGGTGGCCTTGGTAAATACTAGTGAAAATGACCCCAAAGGAAAGATCGTCTTGGGTTAGTGTCCCTTGGATGTTTCAAATTAATTCTTATCCTTCTTTCGGTAGTCATGCCAAGATGGGGGTTGATAAATAATTAGTCTCTCCATCCATTTACCCTTCTATTTGTGGAAGTGCCAGTCAGAACAAACGATCACTATTCGACCGTAGTTCAAATAGTTTTTTTTGGGGGGTTGGGTACTTCGATAAAATATAGAATATATTATATCTATGTTGTGCAATTGATCTGGGTTCTCTGGAAATGGATTCTTGGGTCTTTCCAACTATTTAATATATGATAATGGAATTGAATTGTATTATAGGTACTTTATTATTTTCCCTATGAGGTAATCAATTGGTTGATTAAATGGGTATCATCTTACCATTGGTTATTTAATATAACTATTTGTTTTTTACCATACTCATAGAAAAATTTATGTGCATTATTATGTTCATTCTTAGGCAACCACTTGGTTGGCTAAATTGATATCATCCCAGTAACGGTTACGGTTATTTTATTTTATTATATTCCTTGGATTAACTGGGGTCCACTACCATTTCTGAAGGGTACCAACCAATTGCTGGATCAAAATGGAAAAGGTATCAACCACGCTCTTGTTTTTTCTAGGGTGGTGCCCCCATATACCTTTGGTATAAAGCCACCAATGTTAATGTTATCCCTGATCATTATTTTTTTTTTAAGTACTAAATTTCCCCCATTATTTCTACATCTACATCATATATCCTTTAAATGCAATGTCCAACAGCTAATTTGCCGAAGTCAGGGCGCAGAAATCAGCACCCTGAGTTAGGATTTTTTTTTTTTTTGACGATATCCTAGGTGTTTGGTGGGGTATTGCCTAAGTAAGGTCGCAAAAATCTGCACCTAGACTTGGGCAATACAGAGGTTGTACCCTGGGATTTAGGAAAAAAAAAAAATTGCCGATCTCAGGGTGCAGAAATTGGCATGTGGACTTGGGAAACAGCCCTACTATTATATTCTACCATGATTTTTGCCGCAGAGGATTCGGGGTCCTTGATTTTGAGATTTAGGAAAAAAAAAAAATTGCCGATCTTTTGGCTTGGGGGACCCCGTATCCATCGCATCCGCACATCCGTCGCATAACAATATTTTATTTTATATTTTATCCAAGTACCAACCCAAAAAAAAAACCTATCTGAACTACGATCGAATGCCGATCGTTTGTCCTGACTGGCACTTCCATAAATAGAAGGGTAATGGATGGAGAGACTAATTATCAACCCCCATCTTGGCATGACTACCGAAAGAAGGATAAGAATTAATAATATTGAAACATCCAAGGGACACTAACCCAAGACGATCTTTCCTTTGGGATCATTTTCACTAGTATATACCAAGGCCACCTACCTTGATAGATAAGATAGATAAAGAAATAAATAATGGAAAACATATATCACACAATCAGAGGTAGAACTAAATCACCAAGGACCCTAGAATCAAATTCCAAAGACCCCCTATCGGCTGCATATATTGATATATATATATATAATTTATTTAATATTTTATCAAAGTACCCAACCAAAAAAAAACTATTTGAACTACGATCGAATGGTGATCGTTTGTTCTGACTGGCACTTCCACGAATAGAAGGGTAAATGGATGGAGACACTAATTCTCAACCCCCATCTTGGCATGATTCCCGAATGGCGGATAAGAAGTAACAATATATTGAAACATCCAAGGGACACTAGCCCAAGACGATCTTTCCTTTGGGATCATTTTCACTAGTATATACCAAGGCCACCTACCTTGATAGATAAGATAGATAAAGAAATAAATAATGGAAAACATATATCAGACAATCAGAGGTAGAACTAAATCACCAAGGACCCTAGAATCAAATTCCAAAGACCCCCTATCGGCTGCATATATTGATATATAATGATATATATATAATATTTAATATTTTATCAAAGTACCCAACCAAAAAAAAACATATTTGAACTACGATCGAATGGTGATCGTTTGTTCTGACTGGCACTTCCACGAACAGAAGGGTAAATGGATGGAGACACTAATTCTCAATCCCCATCTTGGCATGATTGCCGAATGGCGGATAAGAAGTAACAATATATTGAAACATCCAAGGGACACTAGCCCAAGACGATCTTTCCTTTGGGATCATTTTCATTAGTATATACCAAGGCCACCTACCTTGATAGATAAGATAGATAAAGAATAAATAATGGAAAACATATATCACACAATCAGAGGTAGAACTACATCACCAAGGACCCTAGAATCCATTTCCAAAGACCCCCTATCAGCTGCAAAACCTTAACAGTAGCTTTGGAACAGTAAGTCATTACCGCACCTGCAGTAGCAGAACCCTCTATGAGATCAAATCTATATATATATAGAGGAGCTCAGAAGATCTTCATACAAGAACTTCCTATGAGCATCCCAGCAAAACTTTTATACAAGCACCAGCGCAGAGGATCTTCAAAATCTTAATGCAAGGGTCTCTTGCGGAGGATTTCAACAGGATCTCCACCAGATCTTCGCACAAGGAATTGTAAAAAAAGATCTTGAGCAAGATCTTTTTGCCAGGATCCCTAAGAGAATCTCACAGGATCGTCATAAAAGGACCTGCTGCTGCTGTAGCGGATCTTACATGATCTTGACACAAGAACCTCCCAAGAATCTCTCACAAGAGCTTTCATACAAGCACCTCTAAGACGTGGCATCTGCAAGCTCCTCATGCAAATACCTCTTAGAGAGGATCCCACCAGGATCTCCACAAGATCTTCTGTTAAGGACCTGTACATCATGCAAGAACCTCTTAGAAAGGAATCTAGAAGGATCTCCACAAGAGCCCGTTTATGCGATACTTTACAGGAAAATGCCGCAGGCCCAGGGCTTGAGAACCCCGCGGCGCAGACTTTGCGCGAGCCTGCGCAATCAAAATGCACCTGGACATCTCACAAGAGCAATTATATGCGCCAATTACAGGAAAAATGCCGCGCCCAAGATCTGGAAAAAGTCATGCCACAGACTTTGTGCGAGCCGGCGCAGTCAAAATGCATGTGTGCATCGCACAAGAACCATTTTATGCAAAAATTGACAGGAAAAAAGCTGGGGATCAGATGGAGCACCCTGATCTAACCCCGGCCTCCCCTACCATAAGAACCCCTCAGTGTGAACACACTGCTTGGGGAAAAACAGAGCAACCCCAGAAACAAAAAGACATTCCACTCCTGGAAAGCGACCAAGGAAGCGAAAATCCTTCACTGGAACATGATGCTCCTATTGAAACATAAAACGACTACAGAAGTGCAAGTCATAGAAACCTTCGTCATTCTGGATGTACCGCCTCGCTTCTGGTGGCACTCCATCGTCCAGGCAAACTGTAGCAGCTGCTGAAACGAGGAGAAATCCAAGTCGACCAAGAGTTGACATTGAGCTGAAAACTTGCGGATTGCATGGTTTATGATGGTTTATGATGGTGATCATCCGAAAGGCTCCAAGCATCCAGCTTCAATGGCAGACCATGAGCCCTTTTCTTTGGTGTTGTTTCATTTCAGCAGGGCTGCCACAGTTTCTCCCACGCTTTCCCAGGCCCATTTATGTAATTCAAAGGTTGTATCTTTTTGATTCTTTTTGTCAGCTCAGGCAGGCCAAGCTGCCTGTGTTTTTGGGCCGCTTGGAGTATCCTATCAAGATGCAACGAAACCACATCCGACCATCATCCAGCGTCCGACTATCTGCCTGAGATCCGCACGTGTGGTTCTCGGACCTCCATCTCTGCTAAGGCCTTCCCAGCACGAAGTCGACAACTCTGAAGGGTTCGAAGGAACTTCACCTGCGCTTTTCTGGGTCGATATCACTTGAACGAGGGTATCATGGGCAAAACATGCTCCAAAATATGCGGCTTTCAACTGGGGTAAAGAGATGTAAATCCCCTCAATTTTCACCGATGGCCGTTTCTGCCAGTTGCAGATGGATCAAACAGTGTGATGGCAGTCCCTCGTGTTGGTGATGTTTGAATTCTAGCTTGGGCGTTTACGAACCATGGACCATTGCCTCCCGGTTTTGGCATGGAACATCTAAAAAACCTGCGTGAACATGACCCGCCACTTCTACAATTGTTAGCCAAAAGCATTTGGATTGGAAAATTCTACAAACACGGACCGCCATCTGTTGGTCCATGAATACCGGACGCACACTGGAAATCAAAACTGCAAAAGTGCTAAAATTGTTGCGTAGAGCACGCTAGGTCAATGTTCCTTTGGAACAGGTTTTGACACACGCACACATGTTCTGATCTATTTATAGATATGATATACTGTGTAATATATATATATATATATATATGCACGATTGCGTGATTATACACCTGTCACAGCCTCAGAAGTGTGCTTCGGAATGGCACTCTGCGACAGATCATCGGCCATGCAGAGCCTCCGCATCCGAGAGATCTGGATGCCAAATGTCCACGATCAGCACAATTCGAGTCTCCGACCCCTCGTGCCACGCCTCATGGTTTCTTGCGCACCAAAGGAGGTGGGAGGTATTACCCAAACCCATGTGTATATGATTATATATACCGGTATATGTGCATGATGCATGCATGCATATATATATACATTATATTATATATATATATATACATCTTTGTCTAGGTACAAGTGTCAGTCACAGTATGCATAAGTATAAGTACATTAATTAAGTATATGTCTATGTCTATGTCTATGAGTAAATTTAAGATCAAGTATGTATAAGTGTATATGTATACATGTATATAAATTCGTGTATGCTTGTGTACGTGCGTCTACGTAGTATGTATATAGCATCTGGAACCTGGGCCTCAGATACAGCAGGCCTCGTGCTCATAGGAATGGTCCCAAACAAATGCTTCTCCTGACACCGCGAGAGTCACCCCAGGTCGGTCCACAGTGGGCACACTATCTGATGATAGTACCCTGTATACAGGCACAAGTATAAGTATTCCGACATACATAAACACATGTGTATATATATATGTATAAAAATACTATATATATATATATACATATAAGGGCCACGGTCAATATTTATCAATATTTATTGTATGGCTCCAAGTCATCAATTTTTGAAATGTGTATTATTGTTTTTTCAGGTTTCGGGAAACCATGTTCGTATTCCCTGTATCGTATCTTCATTGTATTCTGATGGTTTTCCTCAAGGGATAAAACACTTCCTGACACTTTCAAATGCAGCACAATCAAGTGGAACTGTCGCCACCACTACCACAACCACCACTATCACATCACAACTACCACTATCACCCACCACCGTCACCACCTCTATCACAACCACCAACATCACAACGACAACCATCACAACCACCACAACTGATGAATGCTTATTTTCACATCTTCCACTTCAGGTTTTTGAAGGAAGTCTCGCAAGAAAGCTTCGTTTTCACATCTTCAACTTTCACACATTTTGGGGGAAGTCTCGCACTAAAGCTTCGTTTTCTCATCTTCAACTTTCAGTTTTTGAGGGAAGTCTCGCACGAAAGCTTCTTTTTCACATCCTCCACTTTCAGTTCCAACAACTCATTCCGGAAAAATCTGAGCCCTGCCATGTCTTGCGCTTGCTTGCTACTCATCTTAGATGGGCAACGTGCGGCAAGAAAAACAGCTTTTCAGCGAGCAATGGGCCAGCGTCTGGCCGATAGGTATTATGTATTTTTTTGGCTATCGTTTCGTTATCGTTCGGGTCATCATCTGGAACACCTGGTTGGATCAAAAAAAAGGCGAAACAATGATTCTGCGAACCCTTCTTTTGAAAATTCTTAATGCTGTCTTAAACAAAGCTTGAGGCTGCCGTGGAAAATGAAAAGCACAAACCAAAAGGAATAGAGGAAAAGAGCGGAATCTAGAGCACCCACACTGTTCCTGCTGCAAGGCAAGACCTTGTTCTTTCATTTCGCCAGCATGGCGCGTTGTCACTGGCAAGAGTTGTGCTCGAGATAGGTCTCCTCACGGCCCTCCGGGCACACGGGCACACGGGCAAGCGGCCGATCCACGGGCACACGGGCACACGGGCAAGGACCACCAGAGGACCTTGCTCGAGAGTGAGGTTGAGACAAAAGACTGATATGTGGCCGTACACTACTTCAAATTTACTTAGCATGCAGCGCAAACAGCAGCATAAAGAGACACAGCAATGCACATCACCAGGTACCACCTGTTCAAAAGAGGATTTTGCCGTTTGCCTATCTCTCAAACAGATGGTGAATGCCATTGAATGCCTACACAAAGCATCGAATAACCTACACCGTGAGACAAAGGATGACTGATGACAAAGATCAAATATAAGCAAATGTTATCGATTTTTGAAGAATGTATTATCGTGTTCGATGCCGCTCAATTCCAAAAATAGACATGCCGAAAAATACTACTCTCCATAATTCCGTAAGTTTTGGCTGTAGCTCATATATTGATAATCTGGTTGGTGGTTTCAACCCCTCTGCAAAAATATGAGTCAAATGGGAGTATGAAATTCCCAATCAATATATGGAAAAATAGAAGCCATGTTCCAAACCACCAACCAGTAATGATATTATTTAGATGCTCTACTATCTGTTGCTCCTCTTGTTTCATAGGGATGTCCATCTCCAACTGTTCAGCAGAATCCCTGCATTCTTCTGCTACTATCCCCAGTCTTTGTTGCTTTAACAAAGTAATGACATATTTAAAAAATCTGTAATCAACTAACCATCTTGTTCTTGTCCTTTTTGGTTGACAATCCATCATTTTTTTCCAGTTGATCATATCCCCGCGAAGAAAATGCGGCCCGTTGTCGTCCCTCGTCCTTCTTTAGGTTCCAAAATCTGGTCCCCAACCTGAAGTGGGTCATGGTCAACTGGGACCAATTTTTTTTGACCCAATGCTGAAAACAGGACAGCTAATTTCAAAACAGTTCAAAACATTGTTTTTAAAAAATGACACATCCCATGGTTGGGATTTTCGTTCACTGAAGTTCACAAAACAGAGGGGCCGTAAGTAAGTTTCATCCAATGGTGTCCTTCGCCACATTGAAGGATGCTTGGACGAACGTAGTCCCGACCACATGCCAGTACATATTATGTCCTACTTTTTATGGGCAAAAGCTGAAGACTCGTGAAAACAACAATCATGGAGACTAATTTGGGGATTTAGATTGTTTCAAAGAAATTATCCAACAGAATCTAACAATCTAATGGGGCGCCAAAATATCTGCCGACCCCTTGTGCCCTACGCCATCTATGCCTGTCATCTCAAGCAGCACCCCCAAGTCACCCACCCGGAGTTTGAACTTGTCGAAACCGCAAAGGGGCAACCTGTGATGTGCATCGCAAGCACTCAATAAGCATCGTATAAGCCAGATATTTCTTCGGATCGGATAGACTCCAGTTATATTATGCTACATATGCATAATATGTATGTATATATATAATTCATAGAACAATGATAATGTTATATATATATGTAAGAAAAATACAATGCTATCCATGTGTACATGTATATACTTGTGTATACATAAATATATATATATAATATATGACTATAGGATCAACCCCAATGATATATGCGTTGACATCTGCCCGCAGTAATTGGGATTTGTTTCATCCAAGTGGGCAACTGCCGTGCATTTTGTGATAAACCGAATAGTCAACACTTCCAACCTGAGAAGGGGGGAACGAAAGCCAGCATCCCATCTACCCCTATTTTCCACCAAACTTTTCACCCAGAGACTCTTCAATACATTTCACCCATATACTTTTCACCCAGAGATTTTTCACCCAGAAACTCTTCTTGCACAGACTTTTCACCCATATACTTTTCACAAAGACACTCTTCACCCACTTTTTTTCTTGCACATACATTTCACCCATATACTTTTCACCCAGAGACTCTTCTTGCACAGACTTTTCACCCAGAGACTCTTCACCCAGAAACTCTTCTTGCACATACTTTTCACCCATATATACTTTTTACCAAGAGACTTCACCCAGAAACTCTTCTTGCACATACTTTTCACCCAGATACTTTTCACCCAGAGACTCTTGACCCAGAAACTCTTCTTGCACATACATTTCACCCATATACTTTTCACCCAGAGACTCTTCTTGCACAGACTTTTCACCCAGAGACTCTTCACCCAGAAACTCTTCTTGCACATACTTTTCACCCAGATACTTTTCACCCAGAGACTCTTCACCCAGAAACTCTTCTTGCACATACTTTTCACCCATATACTTTTCACCCAGAGATTCTTCACCCAGAAACTCTCCTTGCACAGACTTTTCACCCAGAGACTCTTCACCCAGAAACTCTTCGTGCACATACTCTTCACCCATAAACTTTTTACCCATATACTTTTCACCCAGAGACTCTTCACCTAGAAACTCTTCTTGCGCATACTTTTCACCCATATACTTTTCACCCAGAGACTCTTCTTGCACATACTTTTCACCCATATACTTTTCACCCAGAGACTCTTCACCCAGAAACTCTTCTTGCAGTTACTTTTCACCAATATACTTTTCACCCAGAGACTCTTCACCTAGAAACTTTTCTTGCACATATTTTTCACCCATATACTGTCACCCAGAAACTCTTCTTGCACATATTTTTCACCCATATACTTTTCACCCAGAGACTCTTCACCTAGAACTCTTCTTGCACATACATTTCACCCATATACTTTTCACCCAGAGATTCTTCACCCAGAAACTCTTCTTGCACAGACTTTTCACCCATATACTTTTCACCCAGAGATTCTTCACCCAGAAACTCTTCTTGCACAGACTTTTCACCCAGAGACTCTTCACCCAGAAACTCTTCTTGCACATACTTTTCACCCATATACTTTTCACCCAGAGACTCTTCACCCAGAAACTCTTCTTGCACATACTCTTCACCAATATACTTTTCACCCAGAGGCTCTTCACCTAGAAACTTTTCTTGCACATATTTTTCACCCATATACTTTCACCCAGAAACTCTTCTTGCACATACTTTTCACCCAGATACTTTTCACCCAGAGACTCTTCACCTAGAAACTCTTCTTGCACATACATTTCACCCATATACTTTTCACCCAGAGATTCTTCACCCAGAAACTCTTCTTGCACAGACTTTTCACCCAGAGATTCTTCACCCAGAAACTCTTCTTGCACATACTTTTCCCCCATATACTTTTCACCCA